TGAGACAGCAGCTCTCAGAAATCGCAAGCATTCCAGGCCTTGTCCGCCAAAGGAACAGCGATAGTTGTGAATATCTCCGACCGTTGCCGGACATTACCGAAGGTAATGTGATGACATCACGTTCAACAGATACCGAAATCTGTGTTTGGTTTGAAGCCGAGATATGCGAGTAACGATGCAGTGGTGGCGATGTTTTCCGAATGTGACGTAATGACGTCACGTTCGGGCAATACCGTGTGAATGGTGTAACGAAGCGAAGCTTTGATTTAAAAAAAGTGTGCGGTAATCGGATCTTCGAACGCACGACCGAGCTTAAGTAAAGGGTAGGGGTATTTTGAGCCTTTTCGCGGATGAACTGAGATGAAAATAGTTCCGATTGTTTCCTGGATGACTTGGAGACAGCTATTTCTAACATTGCAATCGTTTCTGATCAAAGTAAAATTGGCTCGGGAACGTTGACAGAGACATATAGAATTGTTAGTGCTTAGAGGAAATTCTCTCAAAGTCTTGGAACCGACAATGTGATTCGTGGACCATAAATTAGGATACGCCTTGACCTGTATGTCCAAAGAACGGAGTTTAGTCTGAACTTTTTAGACTCACTGGTTGAGGATTTCAGTAATCAGCCTGTATGATGGATGACCTGCTATTTATAAAAAAAAGTTTAATTGAGGTCATTGAATTCACAATGCAATATTACGGAACGTTCACCAATCTCAAGCTGAAGACGTAATGATGATGATATAAACCACTTTTAAAACATACAGAAGCTACCTTTCCAATTATCCGGTCAACGAATGTTTCTATTCACATTAAAATTTACATTCTCAACTTCCCGGGAAGTATATGCTACAGGAAATATGATTAATATGGAAAAGTGTCTTTTATCTTTTATTTAAAATTTTATTGTGATTTCCTAACCACTCTTAGAACCGATCGGAGAGCGGAAGGTCGAGGGTTCCATCCCTGGACGCGTCATACCAAAAGACGTTAAAAGATAGTAAATGCCTGGTGCTGGTATTAAGGGGCTAAGCAAGAACTGGTCAGTATACTGTGTCTGGGTGGGGTATTCATGTTAAACTGCGGCATGGTATCTCAGTGAACTAGCACTATAAAATCGGCATTAGTCCGGACTAGTACGAGCAAATAAGTAACAAATAAGGCAATGATCGTGAACGCGGCGTAAAACTCCATTTCACCTTACCTCACCTAACCACTCCAAACTATATTCACAATTAGCCCTATTGAGATTCTGGTACACTACAAGCAGGCGAACAAAATGATAAAAGCAGGTTATAACATACATTTGATTCCAGTGAATATTAAAGTGATTGGAAAGCTTTGAAGAAAAATAGAACATTCTGAGAGGGATAGAATATCCTTGTTTGCAATACATACTACATGAAAAACAGGGACATAATATAATCATGTACTTTCATTTCAGGGAATTGTGTAGAAACAAGTGATCTCTATTTTAGCGAATATGTATAATTCCTAAAACTTCTGTATATTTTTAGTATGTGTGTGAATAATAAATTACACAAACTTGTTTCAGGGATTATTATATCTGTGTAACACATGAATGTCTTTTAATTCGAGGGGTCATAGCCGTCCCCAAATATCAGAATATTGTACCAGGGTGTACCCATTGAACACCCACGACGAACAGATAACCAAAGTAATATTGACACACGAAGACACACACATGAAAAAATTGACACATGTGCTGACAGATTTCATCAATGATAACTACGGAGAACATTCGGCCTGATCCGATGAGGGGTCACATTATTGTTGCACTTTTGTTGGTGTAAGAAAAAAGTCTATATTATTTTCCGCCTGAAAGGAGTTTTTCTTATTTTTATCCGGTTTTGTCTCAAACTCATAATAAACATCCCATGGGCTACGGACACTACAAAATGCTATATAACACTGAAGAAATATAAAAAGTCTCTTGCAATGGATAGTTTATTCAACAAAAGAATGAGGGCAGGTATGTGTTCTATTTGACTGGGCACAATGGCGCCTATTTCAAAGTAAAAAGCATTTTTTCCTGACTGAGAAAACAGACGAAACATGATTGAAAATGATGTAAAAAAAAGAAAGTAGCAGTTTCTCTTCTGAAAATACCTGGTAATCAATACCTAGTACGTTTTATCAAATCCTTTCCAAAATCCAAAACTTCTAGATAGTTGTATATGACAAACTTGTAAACCGATAAGAGCAAGGATATATATCTAGGCAACCGACTCACGTGCCCTGTATTTAGGGCTACGGACACTACATTTTGCAAATTGTCGTAAGAGGCCACTAAGGGGATCAGGTGGTCAGGCTCGCTGATTTGGTTGATGCATGTCATCGTATCCCATTTGCGTGGATCGATACTCATGATGTCAATCACTGGATGGTCTTGTTCAGACTCGATAAATTACATACCGCCGTCATATAGCTGAAATATTGCTGAGTGCGGAGTTAAACAACAAACAAATCAAAAACATTTTTGCAAAATGTCTAATTAGTGAATAGACAACTGCAATAAGATAAAAACTAATCTTAATGTCAAATAGACAACTTTTTTCTTTGGCAACTACTCGATAAAAAGCAAAATCTAAAATTCTGGGGCTACGGACACTACATATTGTCAAATGACCCAAATACTCAAAACCAATTGAAAGAGTAAAGGAAAAAGTCAGTTAGTGTAGGTTTACATATTACACGAAAGAGAAGTTACTGACTGAACGTACTCTACAGGGCTACGGACATTTGTTTTCCTGTGCCACAGTTGTCTGTGCTAGGTAATTCAAACAACTCCAGCAGAGGTTAGTAGCTTGGGATAACCTGTAAAATATATTAAATCACAAACAGTCAGCTGTTGTTTGGTACTTAAATAGCGTTAGGGCTACGGACAAAACAAAACTTACACAGAAAGTAGCAACGTTTGACCCTCACCTGATTACATAACCAAGATCATACCTGATAATCATTACATTTTTCACAAAGTTGGTATTCAGAATGTTGGAAAAAACAACAAAACAGCAATACTTAAACACATTTAATGACACATGAGTAGTACATAATTGTATTAAAATCCAAGAAATTATTACAAGCATGCCTTTTTTTGTGAGGAAGTGTCAACTTGTCAAATTTTCAGATACAATATTGAGATATACCTTGAAGACTGCTACTCCTTTATGCTAATATAGTAACATATAATGCATTTTAGATTCCTAACAAATCAAGCTTCATCAAAGTTAGTGAAAAATTAGGCTGCAAAATATAACGAAGAAAATTCACATGTTTTGCCATGGCAAAAACATCTAATGCCAAATGGAAAGCTGAACGTAAATAATGTCATGTCAAGACAGAACAACTGCAAAATGAAAAAGAACGTATGACTTTTCATCCTGCAAGTAATCATATAGGTCCTTATAAGCTTGTCTAAAAAATAATACCCCTGATTGTGACAAGACCGATTATGTAAGTGTCATTTATTTCGATAAAGGTACATTCAAATCAAATATAATAACAATACGATCAATATAAAATAAATAAATAAACTGGTTTTGACCCTAAATGCACATACTTAATTCATATTCCTTACAAAAGGACATCTTTATGAAAGTCTTACTCATTGTCATAATGTTTGCGCGTTCAAATCGCTAGAAGCGATAATTCTTTTCTCTTACGTATTACTAAGGATATATCGTTGTCAAGTTAAGTGTCTCCTTCAAGTCGATGATAGGAAAGATTACTGTCTTCCCTGAGTGGTCCCATTACCGGATGTGACGTCATTTGATGTAAAATGATTGACGTAAGTTTGTTGAAATGCACACCTTACACCATCACCGCTGAAAGTAAGATCTCGAGTAGATGAAATGATATATATGAAATGTATTGATAGCAGTATCCATGTGTTACGTTTGAGTAGACACGATTGGGCAAAACAAACATGACCCGATGTATTGTTGAACTATGCTGCGGGGTTACGCCACTGCCCGTGGTCCATCAGTTGAATAAAATCTGGAGTGAGTGAGGGAAACAACGGAATTAACGCTGTGGTTGCGAGAGTTGTATCGGCGAGGCATGTCAGCCATTGAGTCCGTACAGACAAACCACTGTCAGAAACGATCGACACTAATCGTACACAGCAGCCATTGTGGACATAAAATCCCCATTTTGGTAGGTGAGTTCGACAGGTATGCGGAAACGGGGATCTATTCAGATCCAGGGCTCCTATAGAAAAGTGAGAGAATGAATGAGCTAAACTCGTTTTGTCAGCATTTCCTGGTACTGGCAGGACTGTCTGTTGTACCCCCCCCCCACCCCCCCCCCCCCCCCCCCCCTCCCGACAACATGACGTCCTGCTTATCTGACACCCTGACGCCCCGAACACCTGACACCATGACGCCCTGACTGACACAATGACGCCCTGACTATCTGACACCATGACGCCCTGACTGACACAATGACGCCCTGACTATCTGACACCATGACGCACTGACTATCTGACACCGTGACTCCTTGACTACCTGACACCACGACGCCTTGACTCCCTGACACCATGGTGCACTGACTATCTGACACCATGGAGCCCTGATTACCTGATACCATGGCGCCCTGACTACCTGACACCATGGCGCCCTGACTACCTGACAACATGACGCCCTGACTACCTGACACCATGACGCCCTGACTACATGACACCATGACGCCCTGACTACCTGACACATGACGCACTGATTACCTGACACCATGGCGCCCTGACTACCTGACACCATGACGCCCTGAATACCTGACACCACGCCTCCTTGACTACCTGACACCATGCCTCCTTGACTGACTGACACCATGCCTCCTTGACTGACTGACATCATGACTCCTTGACTGACTGACACCATGACTCCTTGACTGACTGACACCATGACTCCTTGACTACCTGACACCATCCCTCCTTGACTGACTGACACTATGCCTCCTTGACTACCTGACACCATGACTCCTTAACTTCCTGACACCATGCCTCCTTGACTACCTGACACCATGTCTCCTTGACTACCTGTCACCATGCCTCCTTGACTACCTGACACCATGACTCCTTGACTACCTGACACCATGACTCCTTGACTACCTGACACCATGCCTCCTTGACTACCTGACACCATGACTCCTTGACTGACTGACATGATGCCTCCTTGACTGATTGACACCATGACTCCTTGACTACCTGACAACATGCCTCCTTGACTGACTGACACCGTGACTCCTTGACTGATTGACACCATGCCTCCTTGACTCCCTGACACCATGCCTCCTTGACTCCCTGACACCATGGTGCACTGACTATCTGACACCATGGAGCCCTGATTACCTGATACAATGACGCCCTGACTATCTGACACCATGGCGCCCTGACTACCTGACACCATGACGCCCTGACTACCTGACACCATGGCGCCCTGACTACCTGACACCACGACGCCCTGACTACCTGACACCATGACGCACTGATTACTTGACACCATGCCTCCTTGAGTACCTGACACCATCACTCCTTGACTACCTGACGCCATGACTCCTTGACTACCTGACACCATGCCTCTTTGACTGTCTGACACCATGACTCCTTGACTACCTGACATCATGCCTCCTTGACTAACTGGCACCATGACTACCAGACTGACTGACACCATGACTCCTTGACTACCTGACACCATGACTCCTTGACTACCTGACACCATGACTCCTTGACTGACTGACACCACGCCTCCTTGACTGACTGACACCATGACTCCTTGACTACCTGACACCATGACTCCTTGGCTACCTGACACCATTACTCCTTGACTACCTGACACCATCCCTCCTTGACTAACTGACACCATGACTCCTTAACTTCCTGACACCATGCCTCCTTGACTACCTGACACCATCCCTCCTTCACTACCTGACACCATGCCTCCTTGACTACCTGACACCATGCCTCCTTGACTACCTGACACCATGACTCCTTGACTGACTGACACCACGCCTCCTTGACTGACTGACACCATGACTCCTTGACTGACTGACACCATGCCTCCTTGACTGACTGACACCATGACTCCTTGACTACCTGACACCATGACTCCTTGATTACCTGACACCATGACTCCTTGACTACCTGACACCATGACTCCCTTACTGACTGACACCATGCCTCCTTGACTACCTGACACCATGCCTCCTTGACTACCTGACACCATGCCTCCTTGACTACCTGACACCATGCATCCTTGACTACCTGGCACCATGCCTCCTTGACTACCTGACACCATGCCTCCTTGACTGACTGACATGATGCATCCTTGACTACCTGGTACCATGCCTCCTTGACTACCTGACACCATGACTCCTTGACTACCTGACACCATGCCTCCTTGACAACATGACACCATGACTCCTTGACTGACTGACACCATGTCTCCTTGACTACCTGGCACCATGACTCCTTGACTACCCTCACACCCTGCCTCCTTGACTGACTGACACCATGATTCCTTGACTGACTGACACCATGACTCCTTGATTACCTGACACCATGCCTCCTTGACTACCTGACACCATGCCTCCTGGACTACCTGACACCATGCCTCCTTGACTGACTGACACCATGACTCCTTGACTACCTGACACCATGACTCCTTGATTACCTGACACCATGACTCCTTGACTACCTGACACCATGACTCCCTTACTGACTGACACCATGCCTCCTTGACTACCTGACACCATGCCTCCTTGACTACCTGACACCATGCATCCTTGACTACCTGACACCATGCCTCCTTGACTGACTGACATGATGCATCCTTGACTACCTGGTACCATGCCTCCTTGACTACCTGACACCATGACCCCTTGACTACCTGACACCATGACTCCTTGACAACCTGACACCATGACTTCTTGACTACCTGACACCATGCCTCCTTGACAACATGACACCATGACTCCTTGACTGACTGACACCATGTCTCCTTGACTACCTGGCACCATGACTCCTTGACTACCCTCACACCATGCCTCCTTGACTGACTGACACCATGATTCCTTGACTGACTGACACCAGAACCACTTGACTGACTGATATAATGATCCCTTGAACTGACTGACACCATGACTCCTTGACCTGACACCTTGACTCCTTGACTACCTGACACCATGCCTCCTTGACTGACTGACACCATGATTCCTTGACTACCTGACACCATGACTCCTTGACTACCTGACACCATGACTCCCTGACTGACTGACACCATGCCTCCTTGACTACCTGACACCATGACTCCTTGACTACCTGACACCATGCATCCTTGACTACCTGGCACCATTCCTCCTTGACTACCTGACACCATGCCTCCTTGACTGACTGACATGATGCATCCTTGACTACCTGGTACCATGCCTCCTTGACTACCTGACACCATGACCCCTTGACTACCTGACACCATGACCCCTTGACAACCTGACACCATGACTCCTTGACTGCCTGACACCATGCCTCCTTGACTTCCTGATACCATGACTCCTTGACTACCTGACACCATGCCTCCTTGAAACATGACACCATGACTCCTTGACTGACTGACACCATGTCTCCTTGACTACCTGGCTCCATGACTCCTTGACTACCCTCACACCATGCCTCCTTGACTGACTGACACCATGATTCCTTGACTACCTGACACAATGATTCCTAGACTGACTGACACCATGACTCCTTGACTACCCTCACGCTATGACTACCTGGCACCATAACGCCACGACTACCTGATACCATGGCGCCCTGACCATCTGATACCGTAACTCACTGACAACTTGACTCAGTCATCAGTGGCAACTTGACTACCTGACACCGTGACTCGTTGACTAGATCAAACTATGACACATTGACTGCCTGACACCACGACATCCCGACTACCTGACACCATAGTTTCTTGACTGACGACACCATCTCCTTGAGGGCATAACTCCTTGAACTGGCTGACACCGTGACTCCTTGAACTGTCTGACCTCATGACCCCTTGACTCCTTGACTACCCACACACAGTGACTCCGGGACTACCTCACAGCATGACTCCTTGAACTGACTAAAACTATGACTCATTGACTACCCTCACGCTATGACCTCTTGACGACCATCACCCCATGACTCCTTGAACTGGCTGGCACCGTGACTCCTTGAACTGACTGACAACATGACTCCTTGACTACCGACGCACCATGACCCCTTGACTGACACCATGACCCCTTGACTACCCTCACGTTATGACCCCTTGACGACCCTCACAGCATGACACCTTGAACTGGCTGACACCGTGACTCCTCGAACGGACTGACACTATGACTCCTTGAGGACCCTCACGCTGTGACTCCTTGAACTGACTGACGACATGACTCCTTGACTACCCTCACGCTATGACCCCTTGACGACCCACGCACCATGACTCCTTGAACTGGCTGACACCATGACTCCTTGATCTGACTGACAACATGACTCCTTGACTACCCTCACGCTATAACCCCTTGACGACCCTCACAGCATGAGTCCTTGAACTGACTGACATAATGATTCCTTGAACTGACTGACAAAATGACTTCTTACTACCCTCACAACACGACTCATTGACTACCCTCACACCATGACTCCTTGAACTGACTGACACCATGTCTCCTTGAACTGACTGACACGATGACTCCTTGACTACCTGACAGAATGATTCCTTGAACTGACTGACACCAGAACCCCTTGACTGACTGACACTATGAGTCCTTGAACTGACTGACATAAAGATTCCTTGACTGACTGACACCATGAATCCTTGAACTGACTGACACGATGACTCCTTGACTACCTGACAGAATGATTTCTTGAACTGACTGACACCAGAACCCCTTGACTGACTGACACTATGAGTCCTTGAACTGACTGACATAAAGATTCCTTGACTGACTGACACCATAACTCCTTGACTACCTGACACAATGATTCCTTGACTGACTGACACCAGAACCCCTTGCCTGACTAACACAATGACTCCTTGAACTGATTGACACCAAGACTTCTTGACTGACCGACACCATGACTCCATGACTACCTGACACTGTAATTCCTTGATTGTCTGACACCATGACGCCCTAACCACCTGACACCAGAACTCATTGACTGTTTGACACCACGACGCCTTGACTGAATGACACCAGATACTCCTTGACTGCCTGACACAAGAAATCCTTGACTGCCTGACACAAGATCAGCCTGACTGACTGACACAAGAACTCCTTGACTGCCTGACACAAGAAATCCTTGACTGCCTGACACAAGATCAGCCTGACTGACTGACACAAGAACTCCTTGACTGACTGACACAAGATCTCCTTGACTGACCGACACAAGAACTCCTTGACTGACTGACACAAGATCTCCTTGACTGTTTGACACAAGAGCTCCTTGACTGTTTGACACAAGATCTCCTTGACTGACTGACACAAGAACGCCTTGACTGACTGACACAAGATCTCCTTGACTGACTGACACAAGAGCTCCTTGACTGACTGACACAAGAGCTCCTTGACTGACTGACACAAGATCTCCTTGATTGACTGACACAAGATCTCCTTGACTGACTGACACAAGAACTCCTTGACTGACTGACACAAGATCTCCTTGACTGCCTGACACAAGATCTCCTTGACTGACTGACACAAGAACTCCTTGACTGACTGACACAAGATCTCCTTGACTGTTTGACACAAGATCTCCTTGACTGACTGACACAAGAGCTCCGTGACTGACTGACAGCGGAACTCCTTGACTGACTGACAGCGGAACTCCTTGACTGTTTGACACAAGATCTCCTTGACTGTTTGACACAAGATATCCTAGACTGACTGACACAAGAGCTCCTTGACTGACTGAAGCAAGAGCTCCTTGACTGACTGACACAAGATCTCCTTGACTGACTGACACAGGAGCTCCTTGACTGACTGAAACAAGAGCTCCTTGACTGACTGACAGCGGAACTCCTTGACTGACTAACACCAGAACTCCATGACTGATCACGACACACTGAATACTTGACCACCTCACACCACGACACACTGACTACTTGACCACCTCACACCACGACACACTGACTACTTGACCACCCTACATCACGACACACTGACTACTTGACCACCTCACATCACGACACACTGACTACTTGATCACCTCACATCACGACACACCGACTACTTGACCACCCGACACCTTGTTTCTTGACCACCTCACATCACGACCTACTGAATACTTGACCACCTCACATCACGACACACTGACTACTTGACCACCTCACATCACGACACACTGACTACTTGACCACCTCACATCACGACACACTGACTACTTGACCACCTCACATCACGACACACTGACTACTTAACCACCTCACATCACGACACACTGACTACTTGACCACCTCACATCACGACACACTGACTACTTGACCACCTCGCATCACGACACACTGACTACTTGACCACCTCACATCACGACACACTGACTACTTGACCACCTCACATCACGACACACTGACTACTTGACCACCTCACATCACGACACACTGACTACTTGACCACCTCACATCACGACACACTGACTACTTGACCACCTCACATCACGACACACTGACTACTTGACCACCCTACATCACGACACACTGACTACTTGACGACCTCACATCACGACACACTGACTACTTGACCACCTCACATCACGACACACTGACTACTTGACCACCTCACATCACGACACACTGACTACTTGACCACCCTACATCACGACACACTGACTACTTGACCA